ACTTCGAAGTCTGCAAATAATTTTGTAGGGGAATCTATAAATAGCTACCTACCTTATTTATAGATCGAATATTTTTCAAGGCGACAAACAATTGTGATAAATCATTGAAAGTGTACCTATTTAGAATAAGGGCAATGTCAAAATCATTTATTTAGACATACAGGACATCTTCGGCCAATTATATAAGTTTGTAACTTTTTTACTATCCCTACCAGTTCTGCCTATCTCAGATGAAAAAAACTGGCAAGTAATTCAATAGTACATTTTTATGATATTAATGCTATCAAGTAAAACAAATATTCTGTATTGTCACTAACTTAAGAAACTTTGTGAACCAAAAGCACCGCCTTCGATCCTGACAATATCACAGATTCAGTCAAATAGAAGATGTCACTTAGCATAGACATATAAAGTAACGTCCAATTGTAAAGTGACTTTGTTTCTATTTTCTATAAGGAGTATACTATACTTGACTTAAAATTGAATTTTTTTTAAATCGAATATGTACGTACTTAGTAAGTGCCGCGCATCGACCTGATACTGTCAGCTAGCTAGACGAAGCGAACTGGATTCTTCCATTAGAGTGAACCTGAAGTGATTCATCGAACTACTCATTCACTTTTCATTGGATATAAGCAAACTGAACAATTTCATCTCTACTCTGCCATAAATGATTCAAATTAAATGTTATGAAATTCTATGGTGTTATATTCAATAAGTTGTCAAGTTACTATATCAATTTACCTATTATAATCTATTCATGTATCCATAATCATTCATCATAATCATTGCCTTGCCTTTATCCATAATCATTAATATGAATAAATCCTAAAATTTTCTCTAAATTTAAATTAAACACTATTTATAAATTATAATATATATTTATCTGCCAAAACAATAACTTGTAAATAATAACTTTTAAAAACCGATATATCTATCGAAGACGTATTATTTTGTATTCTAGAAAGCATTGAGCAATCGAGAATGAAGGAATCTCTTACTGTATTACGGGGTAGCTTGGTCTTCAGACTTATTCTTCGTAGATTGTAGACGACAATAATATGTGTATACATCCATATCAATCAGAGAGAACAAGAAGATAAATAAAAGTGACAACATGTCACGTGAAAATTATGTCACGCTCTATAAATGACATTTTATTAAATTGTTTTTGTCAACAAATATTTAATATACAAGAAGGATTTTATCAACAATATTTTTTATACTGATACTGCAAACGGCATATGGCCATACAATATAAAAAAATATGGAAGTAACAATGCTCTGAATAATAACTGTATATGTAAGGGTGCCATAATGTTCATGCATGTAGGTAAAAATTAATGAGTATATTATACATAAATTGAGTATATATAATATACCGTGGAAAACTTTGATATGAATATGTCTTTCATTTTGTCCAATGTATGTTAGCTGTATAATTATTGTTAACTATTATAATATATTACATATTCTAAAATCTCATATATTCGTATATACCAGATGGTGTACCGTAGAGATTAGAATATACTGCCCTCCAAGGGAAGGTGCGACAACTTCTTACGGTAAATAATCATTATGCTAAAAGTTTTAGAGATGTTTTGTACTCACAAATTTACCACTACTAAACATCATATTAAAACTAGGCCTTATTATAAACAAAGGCCGTATTTTACTCCATAAGCAGTAAAATATTTACTATTCGCTTTAGGTAGAAAATATAAATTAGGTTCATAAAAATATATATTAGAATTTTATGAGGAAAATATTGACAGCCATTTAGACTTCTAAATTTATTTGATATCAATATCGGATTAAAAAAACGTGCAACCTTGATTGCACGTTGATGTTTGTTGACCATTCTTCTTGCATTTTATAGAAAGTAAAATGACCGAAATATAATCTGCACTCCTATCGTAGTCTAGTCTAGTCGTAATAAATTACTATTACATCAAAATGTAACATACATTTCAGTTTTTTAATATATAATTTTATGTTTTATTAGCGGATGTGTTTAAAGTTTTCAGAAGAAATATGTCAAAATTCATTGAATTTGGACATATCGAGTTATTCTTTAGAACAATACTTTGAATGCTTTGTTAATATGATATGTATATGTATATTTTGAAAATGTAATCATTTCCAAAAATATGAAATAATTATAAACAAATAAATATTTTGGAATTGAATTTCAATTTGATATCACAGAAGCAGTCTAAATATCATTCACTGAATATTTATAAAGAGGATTCTGTCGATTAAGTACAATGCCTCTTATGTTGTACCGTGCTCACATATAAGGCTAAAGTACGTTCAATTTTACTCGTCTCATGACTTGGATTTAATACTACTATAAAGTCCTAAATGGTCTGTGGATTCGCTTCCAATTTTGAATATATTCTCAATGCATAATAAGATTCCAAGTTGTAAATAGATATGATTGCAATCGTTATCCATAATGTTTCAAACTATTTTCTGTCTATTATGAACTCATGCACACATACATTCTATGAAAACTCAAAAATGAATTGAAGAACATTTTCAATTGAGACCGTTTTTTATGAACTCTTCAGTTAGTGATTTACTACACCCACGCAGATGAATAGATATTTGAATGGCGTTGTTTTATTTACCATTGGAAATTAAATAGTGATTCACTAAGGAATAATAAACAATTCATATTTTAAGTACTTTTATGCCCTAGTCAGATTAATAAAATAATAAGATAAATAAAAAACATTGCAATTAAATTTAAACTGGTTGAAAGTGATTTCATTGCCAAAAACAATCTAGGAATGAAAGCGTGCGGGGGCGATCTTGTGCAAGCATCGAACGGCATTTAAATTTTGCTCGTGACCTCCTATTTCGCTTGGGGAAGCATCTGAGCACAGAATTAAAATTCTTTGGGTAGTCGTAATAAAACAGAGCGCAGTTGGAATATTTTGAAATTAGAAAATTAAGCATTTTAAACACTATTAAAAGAAAACGTAGAAGGAATAGTGTCTATATGTTAAAAAAGTAAATTTAAAAGTTGATAAACTCATTGTTTAAAAAACTCATCTACTAAAATAGTAAACGATTTCCAATGTAATATAAAAGAAATGGTAAAGGTTTTAAGAAATGTCAATTGAACGCTTATCATGCCCAGATTTCGTCAGTACTTTAAAATTATCTTTCATCTTCATTTTATTTGTTATCGGCCGTCTTCCGTCTATGGAGTGTCAGTTGGAAATTGCAACACAAAGTTTATTCAATAATTGCCTACGCTTCATATACGTTCTATGTAAAAATGACCATTTCTCACATTTCCTATCTAAGCTGAAATAGACTATTTTATTTATTAGCGCCAGCACAGGAGTATCGGAATTCTCCTGCTACGTTTTTCTACTCTGTATTGAATAGCTGAAGATTTAGTGTACCATAGGGCTCCTCAGTATCGCAAAGAAAAATAAATTCTAAGTTGATCATAATCTCATGACCTTCTTAATTAGGTACTCAACTTTCAAATTTTTAATGTCCATCTTTCACTATCTCAACCATCAAGCTTTTGATTATTCTCCTTTTTACCTCAGAAGATGTCTGCATTTGAGATAAACAGCTCTCTAAAAATATATTCCATTATTTATATATATATTTTAATTTAGAATGTTTTATTTTTATTTGATTATGTCCTATATAAGTATCTATACAATTTCGTATACAGAATAAGAAATAAATAAATAACGTTTAATTTGGGTGTCCGCTAGATTTGTACACGTCGTGAGTTTCGTTCTACGTCGGTAGTAATCCGCTACGCCACGACGCTCTTTATTTATCCATTTAAATAACACACACATGTATAAATGAAGGAAAGTTAAATATCCCAACACCCATGCGCATATGTACATGATCTATAAGAACATAACTTTTTATAAAATGTTTTCTATATAATTTAATATTTTGTATAATAGGCAAAAATATAAACAACAAAACAACAGTTCCATTACAGTTATTCGATTAATTACAGTAAACAATGCCCAATGCAAACAAAGAAAACAGGCCATCCAGTCCTTTCTCTGTATTATAAAGGCATAAATAATACCACAGAGAATACAATATTTCAAACAATGTCAGCATACTAATTACTTGTACTTTCATAACTTTATATCACTGCAACAGTGGCTACTTTAAGTTGCATGTCTTTCATAAAAGTTTATACTTCGATTCATAAAGATTAAAGAGAATTTCTTTAGTATGTCATATACACACGATTTAGATGGAGTTCCGGTAGAACATTAATCATAAGATCTAGGCTCTACCCGTGAAAGCATGTAAAAATGATAGGTAGGTACTATATTAGACCTCTATAGATTATAGCTACGACGGCTACGGGCTACGAATGAACGTAGCGACGCAATCTTTTACGTAAGCTTCCAAATTGTTTGGGTATTTCCACGTTTTATAACAGTATAATAATATAAAATGTGTATTAAATATTGAAATCACATTCTATTCACGTAATAATATAATACCTGTATTGGATGATTTATGGAGGTAGCTAAATTGCGTGTTGTCTTATTTACGTGCTTTAACGCATAACGGTTTAAAGAGGCGGTAAAGCGTTTTAGGAAAGTACTCCGAAGCTTACAGACACTTTTCTATAATGTGTGCGTACTCTAGTGTTTTAACTTTATTAACACTCTCAAAAATATCTAAAATTTACATGAATTCGAATAAATATTACGAATATTCAATTTTAATATAGATAATTTTAATAAAATATATACATATCATTTAAGTTAGTTTTTCAACAACACCACTCTTGTACATTTATTTACAATATGAAACAGTTTATTTAATTTTTCGACATTCCAGTTCATTGATATAAGACGCGCAGCCAATGTTGATGAAGAAATATCAGCAACAAAAACAACGACGAAATGTTATATAACCAAATAACAAACCTGGTAAAAAAAATACAAACACAATAAGGAATTATTGTAGGTAAACAAATGGCTTACCGCCTTCGCTGCGAAGTGGGAAGCCAACGACCGAGAATTAAAGTTTCGAAAAAGTCTCTTAGGAATTGTTTGAACAAAAATTATTTATTATAGGACGCGAGAAGTGATCGCGGAGAGACGCGACGGGAGTCACGGTATCGCGGCACACGTCTGAAGCTGACGAGGCGCGAGGGTGCAATTTCGTATTACGCGGGTTTCAAACTGGGATCGAGAGGTCCGCACGCGAGGGCGGCTCGAGTTGAAGTCGGCGGCGCCCTCCGGAGCCACTGTTATGTAACACGCGCGGCGTAGCGCAGCGCGGGACCCCGCACCCCGCTTTTAGGGAAAAGATGAATGAGTAAAGTTTCCTAACGGACGTTAGTCCATGGATCGCGCTCCGTTTCAGATCGGCCCGCGGTTACATAAAGCTCTTCTGCACATGCGCGATGCGGCGCGGGTCCGCATTATGAACAACGCGTGCCGCGTACCCTCAGGTCGCGCGCGCCGGTGCCTAATGCATTACAATTATTACTACGCTCTATGCTGCTCCTCACGCTGGTTTCACTAAGGTTTCCAGTCTTGCAGTACGAATACAAAACATTTCATTAGGGTATTAGTACATACTATGCTTGTTTGTCACCTTATCACTAATACTACTTTCAGCATTGTTAACTAAAAAATACAATATACTTAAGAAGACTATATATAGCTAACTATAGTTACTATAGCTAATACATTGCATAATATATCTCGTTAATCTGTAATCATATACAGATTCAATACAAAACGTGCCACAAAGTTGTACTATAAAATGTATTCGTACTACAAGCCTAATAACATAACGCATACGCATCTACTACCAGAATAATTAATAAAATAAAACTTGAAGGTGGAATATATTCTTTTCCTGCAATTAGCAATTAGGACTTACTTAGCTAACAATAGTACGATAATCTATTCTGAAAAGAAAATAGTGGATATCGGTTTGAACATAGCCCTGTAAACATATAAAATATTGCAAGGCTAAGTAGATTTATATTATATTATATTTTACCCGCTTAGAAGTATTGGGTCATCTCAATTTACCTAAAACTGTATTACTAAACATTCGAAAGAACCTAGTGTTTACAACGTCGATAAGTTGTTATCCGCCTATATAGAGTTAGTCAAGTAGTTAACAGTTAGGTAGTTAACTAGTCATTTATATATTAAAAATGTTGACGTGAAATGAAAAAGTCTATGTCTTTCTATTTTTACCTGTTGACAACTAAAAGACTAAACAAATCTTAATAATATTTAACGCGAAAATAAATTGTACAATGGATACTGCTTTCAGAAGATTATATTAGCTAATTTGTCTGATATAAAACCATATAAATTTATTACTTAGTAACGTTCGTGCAAATATTATATATCAAAATTTAATAACGTAATTCGTATATCGTAATAAACACAAATATTTAATCACCCAGCTAACAAAGGCATGATCAGTTCTAAAAGTTCAATATGTCTCATTCCCTTACTTTGGAAGTATTTCATATTTATTTACATAAGTTTATGTTATTATCTTCTATATATGTTTTTTTTCCTTTGTCCACTTATATCCTCACATGCGCCACCTACATCATTTTTCCTTTACATTCACTTTCCAAAGGTTGTTTGTAAAGGAATTGCATTAGCGGTAAAACCGCCTTTTGTACTTGCTTTTCTATCCAGTCTTTTCTTATTTTATATCTCAATGTTGGTGCAATAAAATACTATAAATAGAAAGAAAATAATGCAACCATATTTTTATATAATAATGTTTATTACATTTGTTTTAGAGTTAGAAGAAAACAAACCTGTTATTTCCATTAATAGACAAAATAATATTTAAGATATTAGATAAAATATATTACTTATAATTTTAAGATTAATTTGATTATTCTTGTTATTTTTGATACTTCGAATAATAATTATTACAATATTAATCATTACAAAACTCACCTACATACCAATCGGTAATTGACTAAATCAATGATACATCTAAGTAATTATTCCTCATAAAAAATATATTATAAAGACGTACAATACCTACATTTTGAACTAATTGAAAGGATAGTCACCATTTCAATCAAATTAAATGGAGGGACCAGTTTGTTGGTTATTCCAATATCAGGAACGAAAACCTTTCTTGTCCATTTTTCTTCGCAAAGTACAACCTCCAGATCCGGAGTTTAGGATCACTCCATTCTCAAAAGTACGTCTTAAAAAGCCTATTTAAATTACGTAATTTGAATATGAATTTACTTGAGTTTCCCGCCTTCTACTTGGTTTCTATAGAATCAAACGACAATTTCCATTATAAGGCAATTGTGTGATTTTGTGCATTCTTCTTAATAAATTTTATTCCCTTTTCGTATAATATTTCGAAATTTTTTATGTGTTTATACCTTCCTGCAACGGAATTTATTTTATTGTCCCTGTATTATAAGTTAGTTACTAAAGAATTAGCCTATATATATTATACTCGTATCCTCCGTCATTAGATGTAATGTTTTTGTCAATTTAATCGTATTTGTTCTGTGCAAATTAAATTGACAAAAAACCTTATTAATTTAAACAGGCACAAGTAAATCGCAGTGCTTTGTACAAAATGGTATTGTTCATAAAAAAATAACAATGTTTAACTGGTAAATACTATACACACACTTATAAAAGAAACGGTGTAGCCACATTATTTTCATAACATAATAAATAAGCTGAACCATATCAAGATATTTTATAGTCAGCGTGCCTTAAGTTTAAATTCTGTCTCCGCTGGGATGTTTTCTCGTAGTTTCGTGTACAAATAACGCAGAACTTCGCTATATACCGATAACTGTACCTATGAGTATACGCCGCCGTCTAAATGAATTAGTGAACTTAAACTAAATAGCGTGGATTTCATCGTCAAAAAAAGACATGAGAAAGAATTTAATATTTATTTATCTTGGGATGAAAGTCTTAAGAAACGATATAAACATACCATCACGACTCTTAGCCTGGTTGGAATAGTCAGATGCAGTGTCCATGTTGTTGTGAACACAGCAACTAATATATCCACATTTCGTAGAATATATTTTGAACTCAATGTGGTACAGACGAGCCAGCACTGTACACACAATAGAGCGATTCTGTTATCCTCTTTGATTTTAATCTCATACACCGGTGTTAAGTATATCCCAATTAATGTAAGTGGTAATAATTTTAAATATTTTATCATTATTCACTCTCTACACCATTACAGTTGCAATTACAAACCAACTACTTAGCTTGCAGTTAATTAATTATGAGAGCCTCGTGACCTCTTAATTAAATTTACTACACCTACTCAGACGTTCAAGGTCTGGAGTCCCTATGTGGTTCATATACGTAGCTGAATCTAAGCTTTCAGTAAGCGTTTATTTACTATTATAGTGATAAACAATCATACGGCCTATCTGAAGGTAAACCTTAACCGTAGCCTATGACATGGCCAGAGACACCAAGGGTATCACGTACACGTTGACGAACGTTAAGAAACCTGAATATAAGAATATACATTTCTTAAAAACCCCATGTTGCAGTCTCTCGAGAAAACAATGTAGGTGATGTAGATGGTGATGAACCAAAAGATGGAGTTCATTCCACAATTTAAGTACGTGGGAGGAAGCTCCTATGAGACGGTTCGAGACTACTTAAGTTCCAGCGTTATGAATTCCCTGTCGATGGCGAGCGGAGCGATGGTAAAAGTAGTAGCGTTGGCATCTTGTCGAACAATACTTCAGAACACAGTCCGTTGTATATTCTGTAAAATACACAAAGGTACAATTGAAAATGTCTCTCATTACATCATCTCAAATTACAATTGTATACGTATATCTACTGAATAATTAATCTCCATATTGCATAGTATTGATTTAATAAAGGAACTAATTTATTAATACAATTATTAGCACTGTGTTAATTCCTTTTTGCAATCCAAGCCGTAACCTTAACGTACAAGGGGAGTTGACAGCTGCCTCTGTGGTCATTACCTACATATATATTATGTACGTGTACATACATAAAGGGAATCCTTTAATTATATTCTAATAAAAAATTCTTTTTACCTTCAAAGGTATATTATTTATATATTGTATAGTTATTACTTATTTAATAGAAGCTATGTAGTTATGCATGCATGGGTAGATATTGAAGTACATTCATAATTACTAAAGCATTGACAGTCGTCCCAAGGTTGATCGTGATTGCGTTTCGAAATTAAACGTAAATAACGGTGAACACTTGTTAAACAATGCAATCAAAAGGCAACATTAACAATTACATACAAAATCTTTTTGGCTAGCTATCCATAAATTAGATTACACGTTAAATACAAAGTGCGATATGAAATCTAGGACCTCTCCCACAATGTTAGTAGACGTGTTAGATTTTATAACATCAAACACAAAGTTTTACATATTAAAATGTGGCTGAAGCTACAAAAGGAAAGAGGGGAAGCACTACTAAAATTGGTGTGACAACATTAATGTGACGACGTTCTTACAATATTGTGATATCTATGCTAATTGTACACTGTTTTTTAATACATTGACACTTGAGTTGATAGGGTTGATATATCACACCTATGTACTATATTTTCCGAGAATCAGCTAAAAAACTGAAAATAAGCAGCAGCATTTAAAGATATTTTAAAGCAATTATGAAATTGATGTCTGTCCGTCGATTGTTTATATATAGTACTAGTGTAATCTATATATACTGTAGTAATTAATAAACTACACATCTTATGATGACACATTTTCACTCATGATAATCATAAACGAAATATGTCCTTTGAGAAAAATACACTCTATACTGACGAGATAAATACTATCGCTCCTAAGAATCTTGTCGTTGACGGGTCTAGGAACTTTGAAAGAGGCTGAGCAAAATGCATTTATGCTAAAATCCTTAATAAAAAAAATAATAAACAAAATTGTACAATTACATACAAATTGCAGAACATTTTATTACATTACCTCAACACTTTCTAGAGGCAGTTAAATTTTCTCCATACACACATTTATACAGAGATTTTTGCTGTATCTATTTCATAGTTACAAAAAATAAAAACGCAATCACATTTTATTACAATAGCGTTGTAGATGTGGCATTGTGATATTGGTAGTTACTTTAGAGGACAATAAAAGGGTCATTTTCTGGTTAGGTACATTTTTTTTCATAAATGTGATATG